AGTAAAGAACCTGCTGAACGAGGCTGTGGATTTCGTTAGGGTTCATGAGGTGAGAGAATTGGAGATCGACGACGACGTTTTGGCCATGTTCCCTCGCTAAGGACAGTCTCTCGCGCTTGCACTCTTTCTCCTGCGACCGCTTCTCCATTCGCTCCTTCCGGAGGTTCCTGCGAGACTCTAGCAGCTTCTCTCGCTCATCTTCGCGGACGCTGGCGAGGCTCTCTTCCCACTCCTTGCGCTTCCTCTCGACGTCTCTTCGCCGCTGCTCCTTCAACGCCGCTTTCTTCTCCGCCTTCTTCGCCTCGTACCACTGCTGCTTCGCCAGCTTCTTCCGCGCGTTCTTCGACAGCACCGGAGGGCCCGCAGTCGCTTCTTCGGCGGTGGTTTGGGGATTCTCTGTGTCCGCCGTCTGCGCCGGAGTTCCGCCGTCGCCGCCGCTGGGTGATTCCGGCATTGTTCGGGTTAGGGATTTGTTGAGACGCTCTAAGCAAAACTGTTCTCTTTGAGAAAAAAAAAAAAAATTTGGCACCGAAACTGCTCTCTTTAATTTGGTACGATAAAATGAATGTCAGGATATCGAGAAAATAGTGAAAATCAGATTATTTTAATAATTGGTTATTATTATGAATGATTATAATTAAAATAAAATTTTATTTAAATAAATTAGTTAAAAATTTGTAAATGTTGATTTTTTTAGATAAATAAAATAAATCAATTTAAATAAAAACTGCTAAAAAATAATTATAAATTTCAGATTTTCATCTTCAAAAAAATAGATTATTTTTTAAAAAATATTTGTTTACAAATTTTAGTTACCGTTGTAAACATAGGTTTTTTTTGGAAATAACTTTTATCTTAAAAAAAAAAAAACAAACAACTGAATTCAGAGATTTTAATCTTTCTCATTTGTAGATTAATTTATAATATATTAATTTTAATATTAGACACTACTAGGTTGTCAAAAATATATTATATACTAGTATTTTTAACATATATTTTATTTTATATAATAAATATTATCTTAAACATTATATATGAGGTTTGAATTTAATAGTAATACATTGTTTTTACGCAATCAATCAAAAAGTACGATTCATATGAATTTCTATTATTGTTTGTTAGTTTAATTTTATTTTCTTTTACATGGTATTGGGTTTGAGAGGAATAGATGGAGGAGAGAAATTTTTTAAGTTTGTTTTATTTGGTTCAAGTTACTGGAGGGGAGGAGATGAGAGTAAAATCCCTCCTAATCCAACTTTAACTCCTCTCTAATATTGAGAAAATTTAAAAAAAAAGAGAAAAATTTTAAAATATTTATAATATAATATCTAAAATATGTATATTTATTATTTTAAATTTAAAATTATATAAATATAAAAATAAATTAATTTTTAAAATCTTATTTTTCTCCTTGTGAACTAAATAAGAAAAAATTTATCTATTTTGTTCAACCAAACAAAATTTCTATTCCTTTCTTCTCTCTCCCCTCATTTAGACTAATCAAATATGACGGCTTAACTTTTAATCTAAAAACACAAAAGGTAAAATAATGTGACACTTTAAACCAAACAACAATTGATGATATGCTATTTTAATATAATACTAAATAAAAAAAATCATTAATAGAATTATAAATAAATATAAGCCTTTTTAGCTTGGTAGAGCGCATGGCTTCACATTATTAATTTAAGGCATAAATATTATTTTATATCTAAAAACTACACTAGTTGTTTTGCTTTAAATTATTGTAAATTATTTTTTATTATCTCAATATTTTTTCATTTTCTTTTAATATGTAATCTAACAACATAATTAAAAAAGTAAAACGATCTAAAATTTAATGTGACACTTAATTATGTGTCATTTTTTACAATGTAACAATTGATAATATTGCATTTTTAAAAATGTAACGTTCAATAACATTATTAATAAAAGTTTGTGTTGAAATTTTGCAACAAGTACACCATGTCTACTATAGTATAAATCGACAGGTTGTTGATCCACAAGAACTTGAAAGATATTTGTATTTTCTAATACTTTAATTAAAACTTGCAAAAGAAAGATATATTTTGAATATAGTCTTGTTGTTGTGCATTTCAATATTGAATTTGTAAAGAAGATAACACTAAAAAGGCAAATATAAAGTTGAAAGGTAATAAATTGAGAAGCTGTTGGAATTTAATTTCATCTATCTCATGCTCTCCTAATATTGTCTACATATGGTTCTATTCCTTGATTTTATCGAATTCTCAGAGATTATTCTAAATCAAATCATTGTCTTTAGAAATTCTAAGGATCTTAGTTTAACAATCGATTCCTCATTTACTAAATTAGATTCCCTGCACTAAGTACAAGAACTTGTTCAACTAATGACTTTAAATATATTCATAGCCTTTAGAATCATTAGGAGATTTGATCCAAATAATTTTAACAAATGTTTTCCAACTAAAATCTTAATCAAAGATCAAAAGATGATTGATTAATTCACTTCAGCATTAAGAATAAAATCAAACCACTAACACTGAATAATAGAATATCATATATATAAATCAAAAGGATTACATGAAAGTTTGATAGATTACATTCAATCCCAACAAGAAAAGTGGATTAGCTACTCATAATAACGAGAGCAATCTCCATTTATGTAGAAAATGTAGAAGAAGATGAAGAACTCATAATCCTCATATCCCTAAATAACTCTTAAAGTTTCCTTTTCCTTAGCTCTGTTTTCGCTTTATTCTCTTTTAACTTGTCATGTTTTTCTCTCTCCTGATCCCTTAAATATGTCCAACAAATAAAATAAAGTAAGCAAGAAAGAGACAAATTCACTCATCCTTTTCCAAATGATTGAACGAATATTTGAATTCTTTAGAGTGAAGAAAACTCCATCAGTTGAGCGAATTCAAATTCTCTAAGTCCCAGAGAATCAAAAATTTTACCCCTCTTTGGACCAAACTCATTCAGCCCTTTCCAAATAGTTAAGCGGATTTGAGAAATATTGGGGTTTGGGGACTTCATCAAATTTGCATGAAAAATAAGGGTTCATAAATTAAAAATACACTAACTTTTCATAAACTACCCTATTTGAATATCCTTTTGATTTTTTTTTTAATATTTTAGGAGTTAAAATGCATATTTCTTTTAAATACAGTTAAATAAGTGTCAAAAGTGTTTTGATTTATAGGTAAAATGGACACTTGTCAGTTTGTCAATTCCATTAACATTTATGTAACAAATACTAATGGCAAAGACCAAAAATACTAATGTCTTGAAACTCTAGTGCTTAGAAGCAAGATAACTATATTTTTATGGACCGTAAAGGATAGTTGAGTCCTTCATTTTTTATAGGTAATTGGTTTTGTTCTATATAAAAAAAATAGTTTCAAACTTGAATATTCTAACAAATTACATCATAACTGTGCCTTACGAAAATTAAAACATTCCTTCTAAAATAATTAGTAGTTAACAAACTCTATAAGAATTTGTCAACATATATTCGCTTGGTATGCACTTGTCCTTTTGCAAGTTGTTGTACTACTGTAACTTTTCTTCCTCATCACACAACCTATAGCCAGTAACATATCGTTCACCACTATTTTCACTTGTTAACTTCAAAAAATTCTTACATAAGAAGGTTGGGGAAGAGGATTTGATCAATGCTTGAGGAAGAGATGATCAAGAAAAAAAGTAGAGATAACTTCTTCCAAGAGAGTTTATAATATTCTTAAAATAAAAATTCAAAGTTAATTAATTATATTTGAACTTGTTTTGTGGACTATCAAAAAATTTAGTTTATAAGTAATTATATTTATTATTTATGTTAAGAAATTGGTTTTTCACCAACCAATTTCTCACCTTAATTTTTCACATATATATAGAAGTTATTGGTTCACTAGTAGCCAATATTTCTTTATTACAATTTTTTTTACAATATTATTTCTTTTATAATATTGTTACTTTTTATATAATATATAATTTATATTTAATTTGTTAACTTAAATATTAGTTAATAAATAGTAAATATAATATCTTATTAAATATATTTCAAGGCATGATATTTTGATAAATTAATTATTTTTTGTGATATTGTAATAAAAAAAGTCGAGAGAGAATATGATATAAGATTGAGATTTCATTAATGATAGACAAAATTTTTATTACAATCAAGAAAGTTATTAAAAATAACTTGAATTATGGAATATATGTTAAAATTTAATAATTAATTCCTAAATCACCAATATCATCTAGAAATGCATTAAAACATATTAGATCATCAATTTAAAAAAAAATTAAATGATAGAATTTATTGACCTAGCACAGCAATTGTACCAACTTGTTTTTCATCATATTTGAATAAACATTTTATAATGATATAACACTACTCTATAATTAACTCGTCAAAATTATATAAATTAGTCGTCTAATGACATAAGACTTAAGTAACATGTTGAATGAGAATAGAGACCTCCCATTACATATTAATTAATAGCTCAATCCAGCATACGCTAATCAAAATAAAATTTCAATACAACTCCATCGATCAAATAATTTGATGATATAATAATAATAATTATTAATCATAATTAATATATTAATAATCAAATAATATTTTAAAAAATGGTTAATGTTAATCATACAAGTAGATTAATTAAATATAACTAATCTAACAATATTGACACATGGTGACATTTTATATTTTTTTAATCAACATTACTGGTGATTTGTGTAATAATTGTGACATCTTACAAAGAGGGGTGTAAACTAATGCATTAAGCCACTTTAGACATACATAAATAATCTCGAGTAGGTAGTGAAATTTTTAATATATTTTTTGATAAATAATTTTTTAAATAACACTAATTTGTCCAAAATCCCGAAAAGACTTTTGTTTGTGGTTACAATCTAGTTGTCGTGTCTGTGTGTCGATGGCAAAAAGTACTAACAGGACTTCCATTGAATAATGAGATGGATAGCTCAACTACAACTGTAATGCATAGCCACAATTCATGATGAAGGTCACTATTCGAGCTGGCATGTTGAAGACCAAATAATTATACATGAGGTGAAATCATAAATTTCTCGTTAAAATTAAAATAAAAAAGGAAAGGAGAAATATGTGAGGGATTCAACCAAAATCGAACCATTTCTTTATGAATTGTTATGTTTTGTTTCGTGGTATGTTGCATTTGGTAAAGATGTACTCGTATGTTTGAATCATGGGGAAAATGCCTTCTAAAAATTTAATTATTAGATTATATAAATTTAATTATTAGATTATATAATATAATTAGCCCTCTGTTTATGGTGGAAAACGTTCAGAGGTTCTTTTTATTCGAACTAGCATACGGACATTATTCCAATTTAGGCATTTAACGTATTTTTACGGAATGAAGTACGGAGCAATTACCATACAGTAAAGTATTTTTAATGATTAACCGTTGTTACGCGTTCGTCAATAATTACCAGAAAATGATATGCATGTACATAAATGAAATATTTCTTTTCATTGACTAAAATTTGGGATGTTACA